ACAAAAGCTATTGGGGTCCTGCCCCTCGATAGCCTTCACCCAGAGTTCCAGAAGAGACTCTACCAGTGGCGGGTTAATCTGAGGGGTTCACTAATAAATCTATGTACACGAAACTCTTTAGTTTATACACTCTATTCTTCTGAGTGAGTTCTCTCTCTACATAGCTTCTTTTCTGCTCTCATACTTAGCTCCTTTCTTGCCTGATTCTCTCTACATGTTTCTGCTGTTCCCTCTAAGTGCTATCTTAATTCCTTCATCTTAATTCAGCCCCATCTTGGTCTTTCTCATCTCGTTCTTACCCACCTGGTTCTTCCCCATCAGGCTCATCTTGTCTTTCTAGTTCACGACATCCAATTCTCCAATCTAGTCCCCTCATTCTCTGAGGTTTATAGTTATATATCCATGCAATAGCGATGCTCTGGCTAAGGCAAAGTCACTAGGCTTGAATTCTTACAGGGCCATAAAGACAGATAAGAGTTTTTCTCAGGCAGTGACTGTCAGGCTTTCTTTTACAACCCAAAAGGGGAGTGGTTAAGGGAGGAGGTCAACTAAGAGCTAAAATCGGTTAATATATCAGAAAAAGGGAATTTATGTGCTCAAACTACATTCCTAGAAGTGATTAGGTAAAATGTTAGGAGTCTATAATGTTAGTTTAAATACCATTAAGGCTGTATAAGAAAGCAGGGTCTGAGCTTAATTTGCATAAGAAACAAAGCTGTGCACCTAACATCATCTGTCTCCTAAGCCTAGGAGACAAGCGGTGTCTCCATAAGGGTGTTTACCTTAATTCAGGAGACTCAGTGGTTGGTCTGAAATGCTTTGTCCTGTCTGCCTTTTGGCTTTGGATGATAGAGAAGTATATTTGATGATAGAGAGAATACACTGTTAGAAGTTCTTAGGGGAAGGTATGAGAGCACACAAGAAACTCATAGCAGGAAACAGCTGATATATTAAATACTCCTTGAGATTTGGGTTCCACTGGAAGAATTCCCCGGATTCCTCCAGGTATATAGCTTTACCATATTCAGCTGAATTCCTACTACATTCCTGCAGCTTGTAGCAATCACTGTATTTCCAGGCCTGAGGAGAGATGCTGACATGTTACAGCTGCTCATTGAAGTGTTTAAATGAACATGTTCAGATCCCAAACCCTCCATGTGTTTACTTCTCTGTTCAACTCCTATTTCCTCTAACTGAGCCGGCCAGTCTTACATTTGCTGGTTATTATCACCACCCTGAATCAGAACACTGCCGTTTGTTCCCCTGACTCTAATAAAAGCCTTGGAAAGTTTCTCTAGCATTCTCTTCCAGCAGCTTTTTTATCTATTCTCCAAGTTGCAACTTGAGTAAACACACTAAAATGTAAATCTCATATGCCATTACTACTTCAAATCTCTTCTTACCACGTGTGAGATAAGGTCTGAATTTTCTGAATATGCTTTCTAATATTCTTGATGGTCTGGTTAACACCTTTTTTTTCTAGCCCTTCTCAACTTCCGTATTTTTTTGACAATTTCATATGTGTATGTATAGATCATATCTATGCCCAACAACTTCCTTCCCAACAATATGTCCCCCCTCCTAGCTTCCTTTTCTCTCCTGTTGTCTTTTTGTAACCCACTGAGTCCATTTAATGCAGCTTACTGGAATACTGACTGATTTTGTTGGGGTGATCTTGTACAGGTCTTGTGTGGATAACTCGAACTGCAGTGAGTTCATGAGTGCCACAGCATGTCATGCCCAGCATTTCCCAGCACTCTCCCCCAGCCTACAGCTCTTATAATCTTCCCACCTGTTCTTCCACAATGTTCTCTGAGCCTTGTGTTGAGGGTGGTGTTAATATAGATGTCCCATTTAGGGCTGAGCACTCAACAGTCATTTACTTTCAGTACTTGGATCAGTTATAAGTCTCTTCATTAATTGCAGGAGTTTCTTTGGCCAAGGTTGAGAGCAGCAGTAGACTATGGGTGTAATGTAAGTGTCAGAAGCCAATTTGTTAACAGAACCATTTAGTAAAATAACAGCAGTGGGTTCCTCCCTAAGAACTGTGACCTCCTGAGCCACGGGGCTTTTAAGCAAGGTTTACAGTGCCAGACATGAATTTCTTTCTGTGAACCAGACCTCAGATCCAATCAGAAAGCAACTGGTTTCTCCATAACTTCCATTCTACTGTGCACCAATGGGCACAGCTTGCCTACCAGGTTAGTATTATAGAATTTAAGGTTCACTTCTGAATGATACGATTGATGACTTTTCTCTCCCAGCAGTTTGGCTAGCACCTTCAAAAATTATGAAAGCTATACAATATGCATTATTTTATTGTTGTTATTATTATTAATAAAGAGCTTTGTATATGTTATTTCCTCTGCCAGGAATGCTCTCTTTAGCCTGGCCTGGTTAACTCTCACATACCTTCCATATCTCAACCAATGTCTCTCTTTCTCCAAGAAGCCTAAATGACCACCCTTACCAGATTTAGTTGGATACCCTGTCGTTAGTATAACCAAGATAGAGTCTCTGAGTACCTCACATTTCTCTTTTGTAAACCTCATCACTTATGGTGCTTGCTTGATGTCTGATTTTCCTGCCACAGAGTCACGGCCCATGCCTGTTTGTTTATCTCTTTATCATGAACATTCCTGGACATGATGCTCAACATTTTTGTTGTTGTTGTTTTTATTTAAAGAATGGATGTATTGGCTAGCATTTGTATCTTTGTTCTTAGATTTGACCCTATCCCTGGGAGGCCCACTGTGACACATAGTCTCTAGAAGTCAGAGTATGTAGTTCTTCCCTTGTTTGACTCCTCAGCATTCTTGGCCTCTGTGGACTTTCTCCTCCCCAGCAGAACACCTGCCCTTGAGGAAGAAGCCTTCGTAGGTTAAGGTAGGGAGCACCTTTGTTAGAAGACAGAACTTTCGTACTCTGGGACTAGAAAGGGGAATTCTGTACAAAATGCCCAGCTTCGCATAGAAACAGGAAGAGAGAGCCACATTCAGTTATATACACTGTCTCATCACCATCATCAGAATCACCATATATATATATATATATATATATATATGTGTGTGTGTGTGTGTGTGTGTGTGTGTGTGTGTGTGTGTGTGTGTACATATATGAGTTGGGGTAGAGTTGAGACAGGGTCTACCCACATAGCCTAGTCTGCTTTAAAAGCCACAGTGCTCTTGTATCTGCCCCTAGAGTGCTGAGATTGTTGGTGTGTGCCATCACACCTGACTTACCACCAACCCTGGTGAGGACTGGAAGGAGTGAGGAGTAATGTCTGTGGGAAAGGAAATGAAGGTGTCCTTTACCCTGTGACTATTCATTGCCTTATTTAGAAGTTCTCAAAATGTTTCTTTTACATTCTTTTCTATTTTTCCTTATGACAATGGCACATCAGTGTAATGTCCCCCAAATACTCTATATTCACCAAGAACTGACTTGTGTTATACTGTGACTAGCTAAGCATTCTCTTCATTCAGCCTATACTTATAGGGGTCTCCTTTGCAAAGGCTTTTTGCCATGGGTCCAGCATGAAATGGTGGACACACTTGAGTCTGCTTTCCTGTTTCAGTTTTAAGGTGTGATGTATCATGGCAGACCCCGATAGGAGGTATGTGCAGTGCATGGAGATGGCAGATGAGGGAGGAGAATGTCTAGTTGTTATTTGGGAGCTTGTGCATTGCTCTACCTTATCTAAGTTGTTGTATGGTCTCAGAGTCGGGGGTTGCAACTTTAAATGTATTTTCTTTATTAAAATGCTTTTAAAATTGAGATTTTCTATATCCATCTTTCAATGAAAACTAAGAGTTAAAAATAGACCTGGAGGCAGGTAGACTTGAATTTCAACTCGGGGACCATGTCTTATGTTTCAGAAAGGTCCAGAAAAGAATGTACACATCCTGGGATTAACTATTGTGATGAATGCAACCTTTTGTCATGGTACCTGGCAGGAGGCAGGGATTTAAGGGTTTTGTTGTTTGTTTGTTTGGTTTTTATTAATGGTAACAAGAAATGTATTTATATGGAGATTTGTAAACCAAGAAATCATAAATGAAGTTAACATCAAAATAAAGAAAGCCTACTTGGGTGCAGAAAGGTGTGCCAATAAGCAGACAAAGGCTTGGAGAGGTGAATGAGCTTTCCAATGGAGGAAAGTGGACTTAGGGACTCACTACATCAGGATCCATAAAAGTGGCTGTAAGTTCTTCAAGTCCATGGAGTTACATCTGGACAGGTCAAGCGGTAATATTCATCTGCTATTACTCAAGCTCCCTAGCAAGGTGTTGTTCAATACCCAGAAACTTGCTCCTTTTGCAGATTCCGTGTGCCAGTCTCATTCCTGGGAGTAAAGTAAAGCCTTAAGGCCCCGGAAGGAATTTTCCCTTCACTTGCTGCCTGCAGCTATTTTCTCTTGTTATTTAATTTTACATACCATACAGTTGCTTAATTCTTGATTTTTTTAATTTAATTTTATTCTATTTTTTTTTTTTTATGCTCAGATCCAACTTAGGTCCTTGCTCATGCTGGGCCTAACTTTACCAGCTGAGTTGTATCCTTCAGTCCCTGATTTTTAAAAATAATGTGATTTCTTTGTCTGGAGACAGTCTAAAGATCATAAAAATACAACACAAACATTTCTTTAAAAACATGTATAAATTAGCAATTTACTGAGGTAAATTTATACATTCCAAGAAGTAATCTGGCTATGTAACAGAATATTCAGACCAAATAGATTTTTATATTATCATTTCAAAACTATTACATATAATATTTCAAGTGACACTTTATAAAAATTATAAATATTAATCATAAATTAACTTATAGTTTACATACTTAAATTATCAATAAATTAAAAAAATAATTAAAATAGTGTCCCAACATTCATACTGTCAGTTCTTCGTAGAGAACAACGTAAGGTAGATACCCGGTGACAGGATATATTTTCTGACCACAGTGAGGAACGTTCACAGATTGGTACACGTAGGCACAGCACACTAGTTTTGCCGAGTAGACCTCATGGTGTCCTTTAGGAATTCTTCAAGTGCTTTCAGGATGAGTTGGATGGTCTTGGTTCTCGACCACTCCTTCTGTGACTCCAGTTTCTCCATGAGGAGGGCCTTGGAAGATGGGCTAGGGATGACTATTTTACCTGGATCCTTTACCTGGGGTGGGGAGGGGAGGAAAGACTGGTTAAGTACTGTACACATCTTTTGTTGTGAGGTGCTCTGGGCTGTGGGAAGATGATGTTCAAATTTAGGATGAATTAGACTAATTGGATCCATCTGCCCTGACTCACCCAAGCTAGGGGAGGTGTTTTGGCTCCAAGCTCACCCTGAGAAGGACCTCTGCATAGCAATTCCACTCTTTTCTTCTTTTTTCTCAAGGTGATTATTAAGTTTTTTTTTTTGTTGTTGTTGTTGTTTTGTTTTTGTTTGTTTTTTGTTTTTTTGTTTTCAGAGCTGAGGACCGAACCCAGGGCCTTGCGCTTGCTAGGCAAGCGCTCTACCACTGAGCTAAATCCCCAACCCCGGTGATTATTAGTTTTTCAATAGCAACAGAATCCTAACTTTGCCCTATACTGTTCTGTCTGCCATTAGACAGTAAGCACCCAGAGGTCAGCACCACCATCTTAACTTGTCTGTTACCCAAAACAGTGCTGACATGCGCAGTGCTGCTACTGGAGACAGAGGAGCCCACCGGGAAAGGTGGCTCAGCGGGTTAGAGTGCTGACATGCGCAGTGCTGCTACTGGAGACAGAGGAGCCCACCGGGAAAGGTGGCTCAGCGGGTTCTAAACCAAGTGCTTTCCTCTCCCTTCCCATTCAGATTCTGTTGAGAGTCTCTCAGTGTGGGAGCATGAAGAATACTGGAGACACCTTTCCATGGACGCACTGGCATGGGGATAACTAACTGGAAGGCTTGCCCCACTACTTCTCAAGTACAACAGACTTGCATAACCAGGCAGCTGTCTATAAAGTGACTCAGTTCCCTCCCCAGACTGCTGGAACAAGACCCCTGATGATTCCTGTGCACGTTAAACTAGGAGATGCTCTGGTTTCAGGCAAGAAACCACAAGTGGCAGGAGCAGACTTAGCACCAGGGGTTCATTCCAGGCCCTTGTTCTTGCATCCGGCTTGGCTCATCCACACTCTGAGCCATCAACCCTCCACACCTACCATTTAATAGCCAGTGTGTCCAGAAGCCCTTAATCTCCTCCCTTCCTGTCTTTTCAGCTTTGGCTACTTCTCTGCATTGGGTCTCTGGTAACAAGAATGTCACTCACCAGGTACTAAATATTAAAGTCATTTTTGTGCCCTGTGCTCTTTTAAAATGGCTGACTGGGTAGGGTTGAATATGCTTCCTTTTGTCTGTCATATTTTTCTTACCTCCTAAGCAATTAGTTAAAATCTGTTTAATACGGTTTAGAGTAGTCATTTCCTTTGCAAAAGAGAGCCCCAAACCAAAACCCCAAAGTGAAACAAAACAAGGTCTTGCAACAAGACTGTAGTGCTGGTGCTCAGACCCTCCCCCTCTGAGGAAGCAGTGATGCAGGCTGAGGTGCTGGGTGGGGTGCACCCCTCATCCCTTCCCCACACTGTGGCAGAGATGAGGAAGCACTCACCTCTTGTTTGAAGATCTGATTTAGGGTTTTGGTAGTGCTCTGAAGGACTCTGGCTTTGTCTTTCTTGTTATCTTGTACATTGTTCTTCACGAACTCCAGGTAGATCTGGTAGTCCAGAAGACCAGAGGTGATTTTCAGTAGGCAAATTTCCTAGGATAGAGTGGGAGGAGAAATTAATTCTCTCTAGGAGGCAGACTCAATATGAGAAAAGATTCCTGCTGTTCAGCACCTTCTCCCTCTGTCCTTCTAGAGAGTTAGACACCAGGCAGCATCAGCTGACCTCCCTTAAATATCTAGACAACTAGAGGCACCACTTAATATTTTCCCCTAGGACCAAGAGTGTGGCAGTGAGGATTCTCTTCTGACCCCCTGCCTCTGCCCCCAGTACCCTTCCTGTACTCTGCTCTTGTCTGGGTCAGCCAGAGACTGCTTTTAAGGAATAGTGAGAAATCCATGCAGGTTATTTCACTGGCTGGAGGGGGAGGAGCGTGGAGAGTGTTCTCAGTAGGGAGAGTGGGCTTGGATCCTTCCGGGGCAGCCAGAGAAGAGAATGGTCCCTGAACCACTGTACTCGTGATAGACTTGCTATGATTTCTAACATCTAACAGATGTGAAGAACCCCAACATAGTGGGACTTTACCTGTTCAATCAGAAACTGATTTTTACTCAAAGCTTTAAGGTGTGTTTCTCATAATATTTACATAATATTCTTTATATCTACTCCCCCGTCTTTGCTGCCTGACTGGAACAGCATATATGCAGACACCACATGCAAGAGAACTTTGGCTGAAGAATTGCTGAAAGTAAATGTGACAAGTTCCTACCCGATTGTATCCGGTCTGGAAGCATCCATCATTTCTTTGTATCACCGGAAGTTCCAGATTGTTTTCTGACAAGGCATCATCATTGGCCATACAATCAGGATCGCTAGTACACAACTGCAAAAGAGTACCAGAATGCTCACTCAGTGTCCCCAAGACAAACACCACTAGAGGGCCACTTCATGCTCTTCCACAGCAGGAGACACCCCAAGAAAAAGGAAGCTACACCTTCTGGGCACCCTACCAAGCAGCCCAATAGAAAGAAACCCTGGGGCTCAGTCCCAGGCTCTCCTCTGGCTTCAACCTTGTTACTCTCCTGAGTCTGTCTCTTATCTTCAAGTAAAGCATTATTAAAGTCCCCCTTATACATTTGTTTCAAGAATTCAATGTGCCTGACACATAGTAGGAACTTAGTAAATGACAGAAATTTTGATGATAATTGGGGCAAATAAATTTAAGCCACAGAATATTCCATCTGGAAGAGCCTGTGCCATCATCTGTAACTCTATAATTTTGCAGATAAGAGTCCTAAATAGTAGGGAATTTCCCCAAGATTATAAAGTTAGTTCTGCACACCCAGACCTAGAGTCTGGGCTCTTAATCTTATCTCGTGTGTGTGTGTGTGTGTGTGTGTGTGTGTGTGTGTGTGTGTGTGTGTTTTCTTTCTATCAAGCAGAGTCAAAATACTTTGCATTTAAAGATGGGAGATACTTTAATCTAGGTAGGTTCTGTTTGTTTATTTTTGTTTTCTGAGACAGGATTTCTCGATATAGGTTTCTCCTGGCTGTCCTGGAACTCGATATGTAGATCAGGCTGGCCTCTAAATCACAAAGATCTTCCTGCCTCTGCCTCCTGAATGCTGGGGTTGGAGCGTGCACCACCACGCCCAGCCTAATCTGGTTTTTACGTTAGCACTTTGTTGGGCTCCGTTTTTCATCTTTGCTGGGCTGGCCCTGGAGAGTCCTGATCACACAGCTGCCATTCATCCAAAAAGTGCTGCAACCTGCCACAGGCAGCTGAAGTGACACCTTCCAGTCCTCCAGAGTTCAAGGAACAAATGGAGGCAAAGAGACCATACTCTTTGGTAAGGAAAAAGGAATCCCCACCCAAGAAGCAATTACTGAATGTGGAGCTGAGAATGGCCCACTGTGAATTTTCTAGAGACGCAGCCACATTCTGTATTTTCCAGACAGGGAAGGACCCCCTGAGACCAGCAAAGAGAAGAGGTAGAGAACACAGTGGAGTCTGATCTTTAGCCTCAAATCCTAAATGCCCTAGAACCCAGCAGAGAATTCCCAACCCAGGAGCAAAGAGAATGAATGAACGCCCACCCTGGGCCTTCATCACTTTCACAGCCTACCCACCTCTTTTCTCATTTCGAAGATTTCCCTGAGGATATATGTAATCAGGCCTCCGACTTGTTGTGAAGTGGTATATATGGTGTCCTCTGTGAAGTCTCCTCTCCGGACTTGTGAGGTAGGAAGGGCAGTGGCCATCGCCAGCAACAGGCCCAAGAAGGCAAGTGGATGGAAGTCTCCTGTGTGGAGGGAAGGGAAAGCGGCAAGTGAGCAGATAGCACAGCTGGGAGCCTGCCCTGGAAGCTGGCCAGCCCGCAGCCCTGGCTCTCAGCTCTCAGCTGCACGCTCCTCTCTCACACCGGCTCAACAGCTCCACCAGAGGGCGAGGAGCTGCCTTCACTTACTTGCGGAGAGGAACTTCATAGCGGTTCCTGGAGGGCAGATGGAGTTGTCTTTCGTTCCTGGTGGGCTCGAGAGTAGAATGAGCTACAGGCATCCCCAGTCTCATATTTATTGGGAGTCGACTCTCTAATTTTGAGACTCATGGGAAAATCCCACATTTGATAAAAATCTTTGTTGGACGGTGGGGGTGGGGCCAGAGTGGGTGGGGCTGATTGGAAACCTTATTAAGATTGCACAATGTGACGTCGTTTGCGTCGAAAGAATCACAACTGGGGGGAAAGTGTGCTTAAGTCATCCTTGAGGCTAGCCCTAAGAAGCATGATCACTCTCTACTTTCTTCTTTAAAAAAAAAAAAGTGACTCAGCATGTCTTGAGGAAAAAAGAAAAGCTGAAATGCACAATGTTTTATAAGGAGAAAAAAAAAGCTACAGCTGACGTGATTTAAACACACACACACACACACACACACACACACACACACACACACACACACCACTGAGAAAGAGGGTAACATTTAGTATCCTACTTTTTTATGTCTGTAAGCACCTAAGATGTTCTGACCTGAGTTTCTTCAGATCATACAAAGCCCCTACCACCACCACCACCACCACCACCAACAACAACAACAACAACAACCTGGGGCTATACAGACAGTAATAATGTCTGAGCATAGTGCTTGTGTTCCCGGATCTTGTCAGGACTTGCTGTTTCCAAACGGTTTGTTCACCTCCAGGTTTTGTGCAGTGGTTTCTTAGGAGTCCCTGGTGGAGCTTGAGTAAAGGAGAGAAATAGCTTCTGTGTGCCATCCAGCCCTGCTGGCTTCCTCTCACATCCATCCTCTCCTCTGCCTTCTTCCTAGTGGCCTCTTGGGTATCTTCCTGGTAAGCCTGTTAGTCTCTGTGTAACTGAGTTGCCCTTATCTGCTAATGCTGACCCCACTGCTCCCAGAACACCCCCAAAACATGTCACAGTGTAATCCTACTGTCCCAGGTCACCCCGAGGAGGCTTGAAGGTCTGCCACAGTCCTCAAGTTGTTGAAGTCTCCTTGGTTCAGGATACACAAAGGATAAAGATGTCAAGGAAGGACCTATGACATCTTAGCTAGCTTGTGTTTGAAGCTCCCTTTTACTGGATGTCTTGACTTGAATCTGAAGGGGTGTGGCTCACTCTGAGTGACCCCTCCAATGCCCAAGTCTTCTAGGCTGGGTCAAATTTGAACAGACTCCTTCTTCTTCCCTTTGGTTGATTTCTTCTACAGGAGGGTCCCTGGTCTGCTGCCCACCCATTTCCAGATACCTAGACAGCATTCAGAATGACTCCAGGCTGAAAGTGGTTCTGTATATAAGAACCCCACATCATTTACAAAACACACTCTTAATATCACATTCAGCTTTTTTACCTTGCAAAGATTGCTTGAAGATTCTTACAGCAGCGGCCTTTGCTAGGACAGTGTCAGGAGTCGTGGATTTACTCTCCCGTTGGTGTACATAAAATGTTAGGTCTGCCAGTTGAAAGAAGTGAGGTCATCCGTTCTTCTACTCTTTGAGGCACCGGTCCTAGAGGGAGCAGGGGTTTTTAGTTTGAGAAGGAAGATGGGGGAAGAAGGCAGGTTGTTTCACTTTTAGTGCTCTCGGGACTTAAAAAGGCAGCTGAACCAGCCCTGAGCTGAGTCTGTCTCCTGCACTGAAGGAAGCCACTGCCCCAGCTCCCCGCCATTCCAGCTCCCCGCCATTCCAGCTCCCCACCACATGCTGTCTCAGGCCTTTGCAGCATGGAGTTTCTTTTCTCCACTTAACAATTTTTTTTTAAAAATAACTCAATACATTTTAGATTGTTTTGCTTCCTACAACATCCAGATTTCTCTTTTTAATAAAAAGGTGCTTTTTAAATAGGGGGCATGCATCCATGAAAAAAAAGTTTAAACAAGGCAACAGGGGGAAGTAAGGGTCCCATTGGTAGTACCTAGTCCCTAGTAGTTTTAGTGGAACTCTTGTCAGCCTAGTCTGGAAGAGTCTTTTCAGCTCATATGCTCACACACATATATTTTATACATATTTATGTAGAAAAAGACGAACTTAGACATGCATTCACATGTAGATAAACATTGTATGTTAATGGTCTGGATGCTGTCTTTAACAGCTTTTCATGGGGGTGCACATGGAGCCCATAGGCTTTTGAGCAACAGTTAAGTGTTTGAAGCCCAACTCTACCATTTGCTAGCTGTTTGACACTGTCTGAGTTACCCCAAGATCTGTGTTATTGTTTATTTACTCTGTAGTACCAGAATAATACTAGAGCATCACTTACAGGGCTGCTATGAAGATAAACGAGAGAGTAAACACCCATTCTAGAATTTTCAAGAGCTGGAACGTCTCCCTCGGGGAACTCTCCCAGCATGACTGTCAGTTCACCTGGGGCCTTGCCTGTGACATTACTAGGGAGAGCCAGCCTACTGGGCCAGGGATGAGCTAGTCTCCTAAACATTTTCCTCTGGAAAAAACGAGATGGTAGGTGCTACTGAAAATCTATTATGGGGAGCTGGAGAGATGGCTCAGAAGTTAAGAGCATTTACTGCCCTTTCAAGAGGACTTGGGTTCAGTTTCCAGGATCTACCTGGTGGCTCTGAACCATCTGTAACTCTAGTTCCCAAGGACCTGATACCCTCTTCTGGCCTCAGTGGGCACTGAACATACATGATGCACATGCATACATGCAGACAAGCAGTGCTCAGACTGGGGCCTTGGTTTAGATAATTCTCCCCTTTGCCTTACTCCTAGATTTCCCCCGTGCCTTCTGCTAAGGTTCTTTTTTTTAAAAAGAGGTTTATTTATTTATTATGTATATAGTGTTCTGTCTGCATGCATGCATGCATGCCAGAAGAGGGCACCAGATCTCATTACAGATGGTTGTGAGCCACCATGTGGATGCTGGGAATTGAACTCAGGACCTCTGGAAGAGCAGCCAGTGCTCTTAACCATCTGAGCCATCTCTCCAGCCCCCTCTGCTAAGGTTCTTATGTCAGGAGTCACAGCCCGTGCGTGTCTTCATCCCTCACAGTTCTGAGCATGCTTCTCAAGCATGAATGGTCCTGACAGCAGCCAAGCGTGTGCTTTTGACAGTCAGCAAAAGACAGGCACATGGGGCTTGGAAGGCCAGGTGATTCTGTCTTGTCCCTTTGTATGCCACCAGCATGGATCTTTATGAGTGCCAATGCCTTTGATTGTCATTTGCTTGTGTGAGAAATGGAGTTTCCCTAAACCAAAATATTAGTACAGTAACTCTGAAATCCTTTTCTACCATTACAGATTCTTTTCTCTGTGTCTTAGTGAGTTTTCCACTTGAAGAACTCATCGTGTGTGTGTGTGTGTGTGTGTGTGTGTGTGTGTGTGTGTGTGTAGACCTTTTTTTCTGTAATTTTAAATTCACAGCAAAACTTGAGGAAGGCACTGATTTCCTGAGCTGCCCTTACTTGCCCCCAAATCTCACTCACACTTTAGTATGTATTAGTAACCAAGAAAGGCTAGTGTACATTGCCATTACTAACTGAAACTTCGGGGACTTCAGCTTTGCTGTGATCGAGAGAGGAAGGGTAGGTGGGAATATATACACAGGGAGGAAAAGGCAGCTATCTTCTTTTGTAGGGTGCTGGCTGTGTCCCCCAGAATTACTACTCAGATCTGCTTTTCTAGTGGTGATGGAATCCAGAGTTCATTAGTACTTTTGAGGTGAGTAAAAGAAAGGCATTTCCATTTGGTACTTAAGGCCTCCAAGAGAGAAATGCTCTGCACACGCTTCAGCTGTGGCAGGCAATGTGCTGAGGGCTAGGGTTGGAGATGGGTGGGCCTGTGATTTAACTAAAGGGAATAGCTCAGAGAAAAGAGAAGTCATTGGGACTAGGGAACTTGCAGTTGCTTTTAGAATGTAGTTTCACTTGTCATCAGACAGAAGATGTTTGCAAAGTGAAACAAAGTGTAATTTAACAGCTTCTTCTGCAAGAGAGGCTCTGAGAAATGTCTTGTATTGGGGAAATTATTGCTGTTACTTGGAAAGAGGATATTAGGGAGATGTATGTTGTGTCTGTTTGGAAGGCACTGGCTGATTCTGAAGGGCAGCCAGGCTAACTGTCCTAAGTTCTTGACAGTTGCCAGCTAGGTCAGTCTCAGTTCTGGCCTTAAAGCCTCAGTTCTGATGCTCCAATCCTAGTGTAGCTACTAACAACTTTTTGGTCTGGCCTGAGATTTCCCAGTGTGCATTGGGGCTAGACCTAGATTCCCTAATAGCAAGCTAAATGCACCTCTGCCCAGCTGTTTCATCTCTTCTTTGCCGTTGTTATTTTGCTGTGCATGGAGATACCTTTTCCTTAGAAAACTGGGATATGCCAGGCATTTTAGGAGTGGCCCTGCGGATAATAAGGAAGACTTTCCCTGCCTAGGTGCCTGCTGCACCTGCTCCTGTCTCTTCTCTAGATCTGCTAGGATGAGTGCTCTGATACCAACATGTTGATAAGCTGGTTGGTGATAAGAAATCACTGTGTGATCCTGAACAGGGCAGGGAGATCCCTCAGGCAGAGTTTCTGTGCTTGCTTCTCTCTGTGGGGTGGTTTTTTAGTGACTGCTGCTTGTGCTTCAAAGTTAGAAACTTCAGCTTAGAGAAACCAGTTAATTTATTCTGGCAAGTCACTTAAACCACCCTTGGCTTCTCCAAAGATCTCAGTTCTCTGAGTTCAGTGTCATGGGCAGAAACTGAGCATGCAAAGCATTGACTTTCCCTCCACTCCTTCCCTCCAAATGAAGGTACTAAGAACCCACTTGAAAGAATCACATGTTGTGTCAAGACCAGGGAATTCCTTTGGCCTGCCTATGATGTATTTCACCTCCCTTCCCTGCCCTTTTGAGTTATTTGCTAATAAGAGAATGTCTTAGTTCCTCTGAATAAAGCCTCTTCTGTATTCATGCAAGCTGGATTCATGGAGGGAGGAAAGGTCTTTCTAATCTTCAGAGTGGAAACATTTCCACAAAATA